CCTCCCGGGCCCGGGGGCGGAAGGGGGGAGGGGAAAGCGGACGCTCCGGGGAAGGGAGGGGGCAGTCGGCGCTGCGGCCGAGACTCTAAGCCCCGAGGGCCGGGAAGGGCACAGGACGCCCACGAAAGCCAAAAACGGAACCTAATGGGTGGTGGTGGGGGGAAGCGGTCCAGAAATGAAAAAGGGAGAATGGAAAACTGCAATGCCAAGGGCGCGCGGTTGCGCGGCGCGCACGCAGAAACCCACCGGGAGGGAGGCCACTCAGCGCTCTCGAGTCCCCCGACTCTAAGCCCCGAGGGCCGGGAAGGGCACAGGACGCCCACGAAAGCCAAAAACGGAACCTAATGGGTGGTGGTGGGGGGAAGCGGTCCAGAAATGAAAAAGGGAGAATGGAAAACTGCAATGCCAAGGGCGCGCGGTTGCGCGGCGCGCACGCAGAAACCCACCGGGAGGGAGGCCACTCAGCGCTCTCGAGTCCCCCTCGATGTCCTTTGAGCTGCCACGAGGGCACAGAGTGGCTCAGAAAAGCCTCTAGCTCCGTTCTCCCACGGGGTGCCTGAAATGGAAATGGTTTGGGAGAGGAAACAGGACCTCAGACTGCAAGATTGTAGCGCTCTCTCCACCCAGTTGAGTCCCCGTCCCCTGTCCTGGCCACTCTACCAAGCTCTCAGGTAGAGAAGCCCAGGAACAGGATGAGTGCCTCGCGTCCTGGCCGCCTGTTTGGGGGACACAACACGGGCGGGGGGTTGTTTACACATGTGTCCAGTGCAATATGGGAAAAGGATTTTGAGAGTGAAGTGAGGAAACAGGAGAGAAAGCAAGTCCTTACTCTGGATGCTAGAAGATGGTAGGGACGATGCCTATTCCTAGGTGTGAGAATGATACTCAAGGTAAGTGGGAGGGTGCCCTCCTTCTCAAAGATGCATGCCACTGCCAAGGTACTGAGAGGTGAAATGTCAAGATGCCTGCAGTTCGCGAGTGACTCAGCTAACATATATAGGCACACACTCAGAGAAAGTATGGCAATCTGCTAACAGTTGTTGCTTCCTAGTAAGTGGATGAACAGGCGTTCGTTTTACTACTGTTCCTTCAGCTTTCTTGTATGTTTGCAAAATATCGTAATAAAAAAATTAGAGAAATCCCTTATAGCCCCTGAACGCCAAGAAATTGGAACGCGGCTTCTCTCCTTGTCCCGCGTGGGACAAATCTTTGAACAAGTAGGGCTCGAATTTAGTGGCATCTAGACGAAAAGAGCCATGGTAGCGCGAGCCTGAGGCTGTTACAACCCCGGGCGCCGCAGTCCCGGGAGGGGTCGCGTGAACCTCGGAGCAGGTGGGCAGCGGCGCGTAAGGCGCTATGGAGGAGCTGCTCGGAAAGTGGGGCCCGGGGGTTGGACACGGGCAAAGGCTGGTTTTCCAGCAGCTGTCAGTGACCCCAGGGCTCTACTCTGACTAGGTGGGTCGAGCTGTGCCGCGGACTAGCAAGGAAACCCGCGGATCGCGGAGAGCCTTGCGCTGGTAGCCTTGGCCGCGCTATCCTGGGGAAGCTTAAATTGCTGCAGCTGTAGTCAAGTACGGTGCTCGGGCGCTGGGAGTGGGGATCAGGTACCTAAAGAAAGCACCAACAGTGAAGCACACAAACTCACGCATTGAGACAGGCGCACATCCGAAAACAGTATACAAAAATAAAACCACGGATTCCCCCGGGCTCGGGGCTCCAGTGTCTTGGGCTACTTGACTCTTAACGTTGTTTTACTATGGTATTTCTGTAGAGCTGATGTAAAAACCCTGCCCTGAGTTTCTTGCAAGGGCACTGTCAAAGACTGAAGGCGTTGCAGTCTCTGTGCAGACTTTCTGTGGCTTTTTTGGGTGGGTGGGTGGTGAGCGGGAAAGACAGTAGTCTTCCAGGGTCCAGCAAACTGTTTTGAAAAGTTAAGTAGAAAGATTTTACAGACCTATGTGTAAGTTTTCTTTTCCAGAAAAGGGTTTTAAAGGGCTGATAACGTGTACAGTTTAGATGGACGCTGAAACGTATTAGGAGCTACAGTTTTCACATCCTAATTTCAAACCCCTTCACGGACATGGCTGAAAGTCTGCCGAGGTGTCAGATGTGTCAGGACAAGCTTCTAAAGCCTCAGAGAGATCATTTATAAAGCTCAGGTGTCCTTGGGGTGAAATGATTTTTTTGGCCTTTTAAGGCTGGGTGGGCAAATTTGCTTGGTTGCTGCATAAAGCATTTATTTCCCTACCTAAATTGAGAAAATTCCAGAGCTGTAAGATGAAAGTTAAGTTTGTGGCGTGTCCTCTGAAGAAAATGGCAAAAGCTTTTTTTTATTAAACTCCTTTTGCTACGTCAGCAAATTAGAGAGCCAGTTGAATATTGATGAATTCTTTGAGGGTGAGTAATATGGCTACAGGCCGAGAAAGTAAGGGAGGGCAGGCTTAAGTATTTACTCAAGTGAACAATCTTTAAATATTTTTCAAATATGGCGTCTCAAGGATTTTCTTAGGACCTCTGAAGCCAACACTAACTCTGCAAGTGGCTTTTGATTTCTTAGGCCCTTTCCAACTTGACAAAAACTCACAGGACATGAATTACTATAAAACGTGGCCAGAGCTCATCTTGAGATTAGAAGAGGGATACAGCTCACCAACTGAGAGCTCCCCAGGCCTCCGACTGACTTGAGAGTCAGGCGACTTCTCAAGAGCAAGTAGGAACCCAGAATCAGATGAACAGTGCACCTTCTACTGTTTTTTTGTCACTTCTGAAATACTGTTTCCAAGCGGGTATTTTCAGGAAAACAGCACGTTTTTCTTTCCGTGTTCTTCTATGTAGCATTAGAAATTACCTTGATAAGAAATAATTGCACTTAGCCAGGGGAGAATTTGGCAATAGATTTGAAGGGTCTGAAGGCACAGCTGAGAAAAATAGATTAGCTCTAAACTGCACGTATTCAACAAGGAAGTTATGCATAACAAGGTATTTGGAAAATTTTGGGAAAGTGTTTTCTGAAAAACAGTTGTGAAAGAGTCTTTGGAAATAGATACTGGTGAATCAAGTTAAGCCGAAACTTCTTCTTTTTTTTTTTCTTTTTCTTTTTATTGAGTTTATTGGTACATTCTAGGTATACAGTACAGTTAAATTCATTACTGGGATCTTATAACTTTACATGACAGGTCTTGGTTTTAATTTTTTCCCCTTGTCCCTGCCCTCCCTTCACCCCCTCTGACCCTCCCCATTTCCAAACACTTTATTTCCATTTTTTCATTCTTCTTTTTTTTAATTACAGAGAAATTTTCTAGAGCTTAGCATTTTTATTTTAAATTAAAATACCTTTTATGATTTTGTTTTTTGTGAAGGCCTTAAGTTAGAGAAACAAGACTTTCCTTATGTTGTAAATATCCAGAAATATTCAGAGAGATTCAAATCAGGGCAGAGTTACATATTTAACTGAAAGAAAACAACTGGAATCCTATGCTGAATCTTCTACCTTCATATTTATAAGGACCTTTTTTCAAGGTTCAAGCAAGGGCTAGTAGTGACTAGTGACAATATAATCACACCTGTCCTACTCCAGATTAAACAAAGAGAGTGTTCTTTGGTAATTTTTATTTTAATTTATGAAATTAGTTATGAAAGTAGTTCTTTGCAAAATTGAGAAATTTGGAGAAATTTTTCAAATCTTAACTTCTCCCTCCACCATGATCTCATCCAAAAAAACATAAAATGAATTAGTACATTTTTCCTTTTCTGCCAAAGAGCAGCTTAGTGAGTCGTTCATGGATTTTGCTTTTGATAGTGAGGTCTCTTTCCTATTTCAAAGATACAGCATTGCTGCCTTCAGGGCTGCTGAGATTTTGTCTTTAAATACAGCATGCTTCTCTTGTTGGGTGTGTATTATTATTGTCTTAATTACTCTTGGATTTTTGCCCAATAAATAAAAGACTATCTCAGACAATTGTCCCTTTGAAGGAAGGAAGGCCACAAGGAAAGCATAGGATGTCCTTAGCTTCTCTTGACATTATGTTGGTCCTACAGTGTGACTGTCCTGTAAGTCAGCATGACTTCTTGTTCTTTACACACAATGTGACCTAACAGAGCAAAGTGTAATGACAGAGGCTTGGCTGCAGAAATCCCATCTTTTGTGTGCATGGTAGCCAGAAACAGGGTTCAAGTGTAATCCTAGGCTAGATTTGGCAGCTTGCTTTCACCATAAAAACTATGGTACTATTTCTAATCTTATACTTATACGTCTGGTACTTTCCTGGGGTCTCACCCAATTATGAAAAAGAAAAAAGAGAAAGAAACTCCAATATATATCAGTGTCAACATGTCAAATGTAATCTTGCTCAGGGAGGCTGAAGTACATTTGGACAGTTGGTTGCTTTATTTTTATTTAAAAAATTGAAGAAACCCAAACAAACCAACCCAGGAGTGACCAGCCCAAGGAGGTCCTGTCAAAAGCACAAGGCTCTGCCAAGTCTGAATGACATCATTTTCAGGATCTTGCAATGTAAAGGGAAAACAATCCAAGGGGCAAATAATATCTTACAGGATAGAGGGAAGAAGAGGGAACAGGAAATTGAAGCCTGCCAAGGGATGCTATCTTTGTTTAAACCCAAGACACAGCTAAGTGTTTTCCAAGCATGAAATACTTTGCCGAGAGAAAGCAGGGAAAATCAGTGTATATAACTGAAATATTTCCCTGAACATTAACACTGAACTATCTGGAACTCACTGGAAGTTCTTGTTCTTCTCCCTATAGCTGTTTCCAGTTTTTTTGAAAATAATACTTGATTGGTAGAATTTCTTAGGCTGATGGAAAATGTTGTCTCTTTTACTCTGTCTCTTAAAATATTTTTTTTTCTTCATGCAATGCTGGGACTTGAACCCAGGACCTTATGCATGCTAAGCAATTGCTCTACCACTGAGCTCCTGTTCACAGCCCTTAAAATAATTCTTGGATTACAATGGGATTTGGTTTTTCAGTAGTTTAATGACAAGTAAGGCTCACCCATTGGCATGAGAAAGGAAATGGAGATTTGGACCCTGTTTTAAATTTTAGCACTTACCCTAAACACAGGGTAGTTTCTTTAGCCTAAGTCCTCAGAAATGCATAAGCCATAGGCAGGGGAGTGTGATAAGAGTGAGATGGACAGTCAGGGCCAGAGCAAAAGACAGAAAGAAAGGAAGGTGAAAAAAGAAAAAAAATCAACACCTCCACATTAAAGTCTGCCCTCACTAGGTCACTGGGTGACCATCTCAGTTTCACCACTGGTCTCTAAACTGAGTTCTGCCTCTCTCTGTGATCCTGAGTTTTGCCCTCAATTTTATCACATTGATTCTTGGCACAAAAATCACATGACTGCAAAGCATAACTTTTGAAGGCATTCAAGGCCCACTCCCACCTGGCTGCAATCTGCTCCTCTGGCTGCACCCTTTGCAGGAGAGCCTGTCTCTCCCATTTCCTCATCCTTCAAGGCCCAGATAAACACCACCTCTTACTCAAGGCCTTCTCAGCCTCAGAGTGGGGGCTTTTTAAAGAAGCAAGTAATGCTGCGACTGTCTTCTTTAGCAGACATGTAGTGCCTACAGGGCAGGGATATATCTGCATCTTCTCAGCACTTGTGCAATAACCTACATCAGTCGGTGTCCAACACATATTTGTCAAATGGACACAAAGCTGAGAAAGAGAAAGAAGGACAGAGGGCTTTAAAAGGTACTTTGTTGATGGAGATAATGATTAACACCCTGCAGCAGCAGCTTAAGTGTCTTTCAGTAGCCTTGGTGCTGACAAAGGTGGGCATGTTGTCTTAACAGAAGTCCATCTGGGACTGGCATTTGAAACCCATCCCTGTAATAATATGGAATTAAAGCCTTGAAAGGGCCTTGGATAAGGCATGGTGTACAAAAACAGTGCTTCAACAGATCACTTAGCTTAAATGGTAACCCTGTGAACTAGGCACAAATGATGGTAAACCTACTTCTATCTCAACAATTGGAATATCTCAGTCTCACGGCACACAGGAGTGAATTTTCTGATTTAGGAAGAGAAAGAGTGGAACAGCTACTTTCCTCTATGCTGATTATATATCAAGGGATATGCTAGGTGCCCCCTTCCACCAGCTACTCTCTCCCTCCTTCCTTCATCCCTTTCTCTTACACATTCACAAGCACACATGTGATATTTTTTTGGGGGAGATACTGGGTATCGAACTCAGGACCTTGCTCTTGAAAGGCAGGTGGTGGTACCACTGAGCTAAATCCCCGGCCCATGCACACACATGATTTTAATGAACCTTTAAATATTAATCAATTTCCTATTAAACTAGTCATAAAAGCATGTTTTCAAATATAAGTAAATTTCTGACAAAAATTAATTGAAATAATCGAGAAACTTACTCTCGTATACTAATTTGATGGAGAACTGAAAATATGTTCCCCGGGCCGGGGATTTAGCTCAGTGTTCCGCTGCCTGCTTCAAAAGCGAAAGGCCCAGAGTTCACTCCCTGGTACCAAAAAAAAAAAAAAAGAAAAAAAGAAAATATGTTCCGGTACCAGGGATCAAACTCAGGACCTTGCACTTGAGAGGCAGGCGTGGCTTCACTGAGCTAAATCCCTCATACACACTTTCTGCCTGGATTGAGCCTAACTGCTTTTTGGTAGTGACAGAGCCTTCCAACTGGAGGATGTTCTTTTTTCACTGGAAGTTTTAAAAAAAATCATTAAATATTTTTATGAAATTAAAACAACATCACCCCTTATTTAAAATTTAGATACATTTATCATCAGAAAAATGTGATTTTTTCCCCCTTAGTGGAGTGAAGGTTAGAACAGATGAAATATGAAACAAAAATGAGAATTAATTTGTAGTTTGAGCCATAAAAGCAGAATGTTTTTGAAGAGATTATTTTATTTTGATTGCAGACTGTAAATTATTACAGGGAGTTGGTGCAGGCATGACATTGAAGCTTACTTTTAGGTTAATTTGTTCCTAATCTGACCCACTCTTGGCAATGACAAGGGCTAGAATTTCTCTGACCTCAGAGAAACCAGCCTCACTGTGGCTTTAGGACTTCTCTCCTTTCTCTCTCACTCACTCTGGGTTTCATTTGGGGTTTTGTCATGCAATGCAGCTCAGAAAATAGAATAAATATCCTGTGGGCATCATGTGGAAAATGAACTTTTCTTTTAAAGATATGTGTGTATGCATACATGTTTAAGTTGTAGACAGACCTTAAAGACATCTTGATAGAGAGAAGTATTTGGCTAAAAGTCAAAAAAGTTAGCTGTAAAAGGTGAATAATTTACATCAGTATGGCATTTATATAATTAAGTGTATGTGACAAAGTTAAAAGAACATTGAAAATAACCTTGATGATTTAAACATTTCTCCTCATAACTGTAGAGTACCAGTGCCTTCCACTGGTATATTTCTAGATGGCTGGCAAGGATTCATTTTTATTCCTTTACGTTTGAAAGCTGCCATTAGCATTTACTTCTTTGATTCAGAGTAAGTCCTCCTTTCTTGTTGCAGAGCATCTACAAATAAATGCTGACAGAGCCATGCATGGAGCAAAGGGCCAGCCTGTCATTTGCCTGCCAGAAATCTGTACCCTCCCGCAACCGTACCAGCCGCCTGTGCCAGGTTAGCCCTTCTCAGCTACTGTGTTTCATCATTCTGTAAGTAACTTTGATTCTTGCATCACCCTTCAGGTAAATTACGTGAACCTCATCAATGGCCAAAGCAGAATTGGGTAAGAACAAAGCAAAATACCTGGGTGGGTGATCAAAATAAAATATATGGGGCCAGGGATTTAGCTCAGTGGTTCCGCTGCCTGCCTCGCAAGCACCAGGTCCTGAGTTCAATCCCTGGTACCAGAAAAAGAAAAAAGAAAAGCTATCAAAATAAAATATATAAAATGGCTTAGTATATGAGCCATGAAAAATGCATATGTGCTTGGAATCATCTCCAGATTCCATAGCACAATGCAAACGCTATGTGAGTGGTTGTTATACTGTACTGTTTAGGGAATAATGACAGGAAAAGTCTGTACAGGTTCAGTGCAGACAAAAACTCTTTCTGAATATTTTGACCCATGGTTACTGAACCATCAGTTTGGAACCTGCAGATCTAGAGGGCAGATTGTCATTACATAGGGCCCCCATTTCCCCACTTTAGAGGATTGTTGAGTTTGTATTATTACTAATATGTGTACCATTATACCATTAGAAACAATGTTTGAGCTCCTACCAAGTGTCATCATTTATATTGTTTTGTTTCCATTTCATACTTTTTTCTTTAGGGTTTAAATGCCTTTTTAGTGTCCTTCTATAAAACTAAATAGAAGCTTTTTAGTCAGTCAGTCAGTCCTTTGACTTGCATCTTGTAGGCCTTATTTTCCCAGAAGAAAGAAAGTATAACCGAGGTAAAGATGCAGCAGTGACATAGCCTGTATTTTTCCACACAGTTGGTGTCTTGCCATATGTATTTACATAAATGCATTAAGGAGTATTGTACTTATATAAACACATGTATTTACATAAATACATAAATCAGTTGAAGAATGTACTTGTGGAATTTGCCAGTGTGATCAGATTGATGGGGTGGTAGCAACCTGTACAGTGGTCCCCAGTGGCCCCCACACCCTGGTATTCACACGTTTGTGTAATTCCCTCCTGAGTGTGTGGATGGGACCTAGAGACTCTTCTAACAAATAGGACAGAAGTGATGGGATGTCTCTTTTGGGACTGAGATACAAAATACACCGTGGAGTCCTGTGGCCTCTTTCATTCCTTCGCCTTCACTTTCCTTTTTCTCTCTTCATCATCTGCCACATCATGAGGATGCTTGGAAAGCCTATGGAGAAGGCCGGAAGAGAGGAACTGAGGTATCCCGCCAGCAGCCACTCGAATAAGCTTGGAAGCAGATTCTCAGTTCCAAGTAAGACTTTTTGCTGATTGTAGCTGCAACTCACAAGAGCCCCTGAACAAGAGGCACCCAACTAAATCCTGCCCAGATTCCTGACCCACAGAACATAGGAGACAATGAAGACCTGTTTTTTGGTGGTAATTTGTTATTCAGCAATAGATAACTAATACAGAAGGTCCTGTACTTGTATAACTGACACTAGTTTATAAGCTGAAATCTAATCTCATTTGTTTTCTTTTGTAAATGTTTTAGAAAATCATAGGACTGAGTCTCTCTCTCTCTCAATAAACAACTATAATTACAATTTAAACAGGATATTGTAGAGATCCATCATAATGATTACCACTAATTAGAACTAACAGACATCTTTGTGAAAGTCAGCTTTCTCTTTACAATAAACACTTGTCTCTTGATAATGTATTTCTTATGAACATGCTGTGTGTGTGTGTGTGTGTGTGTGACAGTACTATGCTTAGTTTAATGTTTGAGCAGGCTTTCATTATTGGTGAAGAAATAGAGGGATAGGGATATTTATATGCATTACAAAAATGGATTAACATTAAAATTAGGAACAAAAGTCTTTTTGCCCTTGACATTTAGGTATACTGTATACAGACTTATAAAAATCTGGCTTGCTATTTTCAGGCTATAATAATGAAATTTGAACATTACTTGGAGTCTCCTTTTATGGATGAAAATCTCATTATGGCTCTAATTTTTAAATATTTGACAAGCAATTATCTTAACAAAAGTTTTCGGACAGTTTTGGCTTTCCCAGAGATTGAAAGGTGAAAGTGTTCATTTCTTTTGATGGCAACAAAGCAATTGTTATTATTATCAGAAGTATGATGAACACTGTGTGATGGATTTTATAAATCATGTCACCTTAAAAATTAACTGAACATTACTACAATAAAGGAGGAAAACATTCTTTGGGAGTGGTGTTTCAAAAGGCAATAAAATTAGTCAATTAGCATGCAGTTTTTTTCTTAAAATGGTTTGATCTTTCCATCTTTAGAATGCCTTCTTTGTTTATGGACTGTTGGGCCCTCTTGTAGTACCAGTTGTTTAGTCAGTCAGTAGACTGAGCATCTGCTGGATACCTTCACCGTGTACTATTAAGTGCAAAACAAACAAACAAATAGGAGACAGACTCCCTCAAGCACAAGAAGCATACAGTTGAGTTGAGAATATCAAATGTGCACTTTAAATGGTCAAAGTGTACACTTACTGAGTTAAAGATATGTCCAACTCAACATGTACAAGTTACTATTGAAGTTTGAAAAAGTTGTGCTTAATTATACTGGGTTGTCAACTCATATGATTCTTCACTACAGTGTTTCTTTGCATGTTTATTCTTGCTGATCCCTCTGCCTAAAAAATCCTGCCACTCCATTTTCACCTGATGTAATTCTACCTCTCATTTAAGGTCCAATTGAAAAGTGCCCAATTCCATGAATATTCGGTTTATTCCATCTTGGTTTATCTGTTACAGTGGAGTCTACAGCCCACCCAGCCTTTTTCACCAGAATTCCGTGAATTATACTTAGCATTGCAACTCTCTGATTACTTGTCTTCTGTCTTCTTCGCTATCTATTCTTCTATGCTTTTCACGATGATACCTTGAAGACTGAGTATTTGAGAATGCTGATTCTGTGGTCCAAGTCGCCTGCATTCACATCATTCCCCTGATATTTAATCCCTCCTAATTTCCCCTTATTTGAGCTGCAGCTCCATTTCTTGAAGTGATTCCTGAACATATCCACTTTGGATGTTGCTATGGCCTCAAACTCAACATGTGCAACCTATATAAATTTTCATCCCTGTCATCTACCCTCACTCCAATTTCCTTACTGAAATCTACAACATACCATGTCTGTCTTCTGAGCCTTCAGGGCTCCAAATGGTGACATCGTTTGTGTATCAGTCTCTTCTTTTTTTACATATATGCAGTCAAGCAGATCAGAGCTTAGTTGAAGTCTTATGTCTTCTATGAAGCCTGTCCTTTCTGCTTCAGGATCTGGAGGTTCCCACACTCCAAATGCACCTGTCCTCCTCAATTATCTCTTAATTGTGACTATAAGCTAAAATAAATGAAATCATCTTATTATTCGCTTGAAGTGGTTCTCATTTTCTTCTCTCCCTACCCTTCAACTCTTTCTTCATCTTCTGTCCTCATCTCCCCTCACCGAGGTTAGAGCTATTGTCCTGTAAGGTACCCTCCCTTCAACATAGTGTACTTGTTTACCATGTCTCAGTGATTATGCTCACAGAGATTCATTCTTCTCCTCCTCTTCTCCTTTGCTCAGTTAAGTCTTCCTTATCTTCTAAGAGTGGGGACAGTGCTTACCTCTACAAGCAAATCTTCCTGGATCTCCCATCCTCAAGGAAGAGTCTCTTCTCTGGGGTGGGGTGGGGTGGTGTTGAGTATTTTATTGTCAAATTTCTTTCCATCAATGTGACGAAATACCTGACATAAACCACTTAAAGGAGGGAAAGTTTATTTTGGTTCCCAGTCTGAGGTTTTACTCCATGATTAGCTGGTTCCACTGCTTTTAGGCCCATGATAAGGCAGAAGCATCATGGCAGAAAGGTAAGACAGAAGAAAGTTGCTCACCTCCTGGCAACCAGGAAGCAGAGAGAAAGGGAAAGAACATAAGAAGGGGCCAGAGACCAGATACAGTCCCCAAAGTCATGCCCCTACTTCCTTTGACTAGATCTCGCCTCCTGTTTCCATCATCTTCCAATAATGCTATCAAATTATGACCTCATCAGTGGCTTAGCCGCTTGATAAGCAATGGACAGCTCATGATGCAATTGCTGTCTAACAAGCCCATCAGCTAGCAACCAAGCCTTTAGCATGTGGCCTTTGGGGGATATTTAAAAATCTATGTAACTCTCATTAGCCACTTAACAATAAGAAATTGTGCATTTATAGGAAGAGCAGCTTTGTGGATCATCTTAAAGTCCTCATTAAATTTTGCACCTTGCTTTTTATGAACTGCCTTGAAATAATTTCAAAGTCTATAAACTAGAATAATAAATACTCATTAATTTTCTGGAAAAAAAATCCAAACCATAATAAATATACAAGCAAAAGTAGACTTTGTAGAGGGACAAACTGGATTTGTGTCCCAGTGATGCTAATTTACTAGCCACACAAGCTCAGTTTCTCTGGGCTTCAACCTCCTCATCTACAAAACAGGGAAAACAGTCTTTCCTTTACAGAGCTATTGTGAAGCCTAAATGAGATGATGTAAATCATACATTGGGCACCTAGCCACTACTATCATTACCAAGTTCTCTTGGGGTCCCTTTTGAGGCAGATACACTACACACACTTAGTGGATGCCATTGTGAAGATGGCCCCTTGCGGTTGTGAAATGCTCAGCTACCACACAGTGGGCCTAATATGTTTAACATTGATTGTTTGACAACTTATTTGTGTGTGTTTTTATGTTTAAGGATCTGTAAGATTCTGAGGAGAAACTGGGGCAAGGAAGTAAGAACTGTCTGTATATAACGCCTGTACTGCTGCTTCTCTAGCTTCACTGCTCATAGCCATCATCTGTCCCTTCACCCTGCCCCCATTGTATTGGACTAGACTACTTGCCGTCTTACCCATGACGTCAGCCCAGATCCTCTCGGCTTTGTGCAGGCCCATTGTCTGAGCTAGCTGGGCTGGCACAGCTTCTAGCCCCTTAGGCATCTTTACTTGTTCACCCCACTCCCATTAGACTGTTACTCTTGCTTGCCACTGCATCCTTGGCTTCTATCAGACAAGATTGGGCGCATTCAGGGTGGTGCGGTCGTAGACATCCTTGGCTTCTGTCATAGTGCCTGGCACATAGGACAAGTGTTAGAAACATTTGTTACATGAATACACTGCTTCAAGTATTGCATGGTTTTCCTCAAGGAGGAGCAAGGGATTTTTAAGTGAATCGCTATGTTTCTTCACTCATGACTGTGTTTCTCGTATTTAGTCATCAACTAAAACACGTGGCCAATATTAACACGGATAAACACTGCACTAAAACACTGTCCACTTCATTAAACACTAATTCTTATCGACAAGCACAATTGTATAAATTTATGGTGTACAACATGATGCTTTGAAATAATCTGCTTCTTAATAGGTATGTGGCCTTGCGCAGGTTTCTTAATTGCTCTATGCCTCAGTTTTCTGATTTGAAAATGGTTGTGATAAGCCTATTCATAGGGCTGTAGAGAAGATTAAATAAAATGCTTCTACTTTCTGGAATGTTTTCTCTGCGGACCATCCCAGGGCTGGCCCCTTCTTCACATTTAAGATTCAGTTCAAACTCTGAATCCAGGGGCTCTTTTCTCTGCTTCCTGCTAGTCTCTTGGTTGTAAGTTTTTCACAGAATTTTCTATTATCTGACTTTATCATTGTTCACTTAATTATTTGCCCATCAGCTAGCTGTGTGGTCTCAATTTCTCTGGGTCCTTTTGTGCTTACTGCCACATTCTCAGTGCCTAGAGCCATGCATGGTATGTTGTAGCACTGAATAATAAGTATTTGTTGAACAATTCACTTATTCTTATTTCTCCAAGCCTTTGCGAAAGCTAATAGACAGCCGAATTTCAGTGAAAAAATTCTAATCATAGATCCTGGGAGGAGGGGGGACATCCTTACAAAGTATATCATCAGTCTGTGACAAAAGTATAAGATCCAGCTCTTAGTCTCAGGAATATACCATCTAGAGGTGGTGAGATGTGACATGTAAAGTCCTTAGGACCACTGATGATTTTAAAATCACTAGTGCAACCTATGAAAAGCTATACAGCTACAGATCAAACTAAGAAGGCGTGAAACTAAGTTCTAAATTAGTGAAATGGGGATAGAGCCAGAGAGATAAGATGAAGAAGGCTTTCTTAGAGGACCATAAAGAAGACATGTCATTCTAGAGAAAAGAGTCCAGGCACTAATATTTGGAACCCACTTAGAATAGAGGTTGACCATAGTAAAATCTATATATAGGCTCATTAAATAAAAACACTCAACTGATATTTTTATGCCATCAGAATTTTATATTGCTGCTTTAAAAAGATAAAAAAAAATTTTCAAAGATGTAATCACGAAGTTTCCATGAGTTGCTCCTCAGAGAGGACCATAATAGCACTTATTTTTTTGCAATTAGAATATACTACATGCTAACTCGAGAAACATCTTCAGGAGACTCAGGCAACCCTTGGGGGGATCACATGAGTTCAATCAGATCATCCTAATTCTCAGAAGTAAAAGAAAAAAAAGATGACGGCATGGGACAAGCCTCTTGAGCCTCGGGTTGGCGACGAGGGGCCTGAACGTGCTCTTCACTGAAGACACAAAATCTACAATCGCAGTGAGCCCTTTGGCTGGGCTGTGACAAGCTGGCTGCCGGGGAGCGCGCCTCACCATCATGGGCCGCGGCTGCACTCTGGCTGGCTACTGGCCTGGAGTTGGCCATAGTGAGCCACGGAGAACTTCGGGGAGCAGCACAAGACACTGGAATCACATACTTAGTTGAGGTATTTTTAGAAGCGTAGTGTAGCTCGGTGCTGAAGATGATTATTTCCGGAGAGAAAGCCTTGATTCGGATGCCACATTCCGTAACGCGGTAGGTGAACTGGTAGACGTGCGGCTGAACGTAGTTTGCAGGACAACCCAGGCCCAAGTGCAGCTCGTAGAAGTGTACGTACACATCATCATTCCACATGAAGGGGTGTGCCGTGACCATGAACCAATCCAGGGAGCACAGCACGGTCACTGGGACTTCTCCACAACAGACTGAAAACATGGTGGTGAGGAAGAACAACTCTTTTACCAACTTGAAGGCTTTCATCTTTACAGACAATGTGGCAACAACCCACAGGAAACAGGAAGCTTTCCAGTGAGGATTTCTACAAGAGACAAAAAACACAAAGGGTAAGTCATCTGAAATCCTAGCAAAAGTTCAAATATGATCCTTTTTAAGCAAAAGGCTGTTTCTAAAGGATTAAGAAGAAGAAACAATTCATGTGAGATACAACTGAATTTTAATTTTATTGTTGGAATATACATGTTTATTGGTTATTGGTGAGTACAATGGATTTTTTTTGCAGTGCTGGGATGGAACTCAGGGCCTCTTGCATTGTAGGCAAATGCTGTAACACTGGGCTACATACATTCCTAGCCTCACAATGGCTTCTGTAAGGGACTTTGCCATGTTGTTTTGGTAAAAATATCTATCCTTCCTCGTGTGCATAATGAGACACTACATTGATTAGAATGGCGTTCTTTTGTGTGTAATCTCAACATGAGAGCAAAACAAAACAGTTTTTGTGTCAAGCATTAAATAAAAAGAGAGGAGATACAGTTTAATTCAAGTTGGCAATGCTTTGCGCCTTAAGGGCTATGATGTCCTCTCGTAGATCATCCTAATGAACACCTCCTTATTGCCTTGTTTGTTAGCAACAGACTTAATTAAACAAAAACATAAGAAAAAATTGTAGTTTATCCCTGGCAACAACATATTGAGGTTTTGCTTAGTGTCTCATGTATAAGTGATCAAGCAAGTGCTTCATGAATCCCGATAGTACCAGCATAAGTCATCATGACCAAAAGATCGCCTGACACATTCATGGGGACACATTGTAAAACAGCAAAATCGCAGAAACATGAAAACATACTGGTTTTCAATGTTATGTGTTTCAATGCATATTACACAAGAAAACTACTTAAAAAGTCCTATATTAAAGGGAGTATTGGGCACTTTACACACTGACAAACTATCTCCTAAAAATCTTGGCTTTAGAGTCATCTGTTCACTAGCTTTTTGTTTTCTTTTTCAGTAGGAAGCTCTGGTGCTACTTCACAGTATTATTGCCTTTTCCATCTTTTAGAGTGGCAGGCATTTTAAAGGTAGAAATGCCATGAGTCAATTGGAAAAGGGATAAAATTTAGAAGGAAGTGTATATGCAAAGTGCAGGGTTCACTTTTGTTTCCATTTGAGCTAAGTGACCCATGCATAAATGAATTCATTCCTTGAATAATATTTATTGAATGCCTACTATGTGCAAAGCACTGGGATAAAAAAATCACCCCATGATACTTCTTTCTTCCTCTTTCCCTAGTTGCAAAATGCAGCTCTTCTCTTTCTTTGCTATTGATGAATGTGCTGCATTCTATAATGGAAACCATGGCATAGGGGTCCACTAGAAAAGTGCAGCGGCTTGGATGGAATCCTTTGTTTCTGACTGGTACAGCTTGCCCTCACTATCTCTCCCTCTCTCCTTAATGGCTCCTCATTCTCTCCAGGGTGCTGGGATGTAAAAAGAAGCCAAAGCAGTCTGCTGGGCTCCTTCTTTTTCCATTTGTCCATTCTGAAATATTTCTTCTTTGGCTGCATTTTTTTCCTTTTTGCTTTTCACAAAGCAAAAACAGAAACATCAGCAATGCAAGCAAAAAAAAAAACCCCATGCCTTTACCTCTTTCCTACTCAGAAAAACAAAACAAACACAATAACAACAAAAATAGGGAAACACTTGATGTGAGCTCATCTTAGAGGATCCAACAGCTAAGGAAACACACCACTTGCTCTAAAATAATGCACATTTTTTGCTGAGAATCTTTTGGGAAGCGGAGAAAAATACTACTACACTACTGCACTATTGTTTCAATCCCCTTCTCACTCTCTTCCTTGCTCTGTCCTTTCCTTCATTTCATGGCTTTGGCCTATGGATCCTGAACAAAAACCTTCTCTTTAAGTGGTTTGTGGAATAATAAGGAAACAATTCTTTCATTCCATTTTTGTTGTTCAAATCCCAAAACAGAGACCCTAATTTAATGCTTTTCTTGTCCTGAGAATTAAGCCATCCATTTCCTCTCTTTCCCTTGAGTATCTTTCCTATACTCTTCTCTCTTTCCCTCCCTCTCTCAGATGATTCAAATAGAGTTATAAAATGCCTGGATTCTCTGAGAAACAAGACAGCCCCCAAGCAATCATTGCAGACTACCTTCCCAACCCACATCCACTTCTTGAATCGATGACCTCACTGAGTTTGGGGATTCATTTAGTACAAATCTCCAAACTTGGACAAGACAGAATCTCTTTTCTCTGATTTTCTTAAAGCCAGGAACAAATTGCCATGAGATGGGAGCAATAAGCAAAGATTCCTATGCATGGGACAGCATACCTTTGGGCTCAGAAAAAGCTTTAAAAGGAAGTCAGCTGGACTCAAGTTCAAGGCTTTGTGACTCTGAGGTGAGAGGGAGAAGCCTGGAGATTAGGAGGAGAGCAGAATGTACTTGCTAATGAGCTTGCTAAAGTTTAACTCAATGCTACACTTTGGGACTGGCTCCCTTTTTGCAGAGAACAGGTCATCAGAAAAGGGCAGCCTCCCTTCCCCTGCTGCCTGCACTTCCCAGGGAAGGGGAGAGTGGGGTGTGTGCGTGTGTGTGTGCGTGTGTGTGTGTGTGTGTGTGTGTGTGTGTGTGTGTAGAAGGGAGAGAGAAAATGGGCCCTGGTTATGGGAAGCAGAGGAAAAAGAAGGCCTAAAGCAGTGGTGATGCAGCGTGCCTGTTGCAGTCGTGCCTGTTGCAGCCGGCTGTTTATCATCATTGAATGCTCTAAAAGGTTCACCATCACTGTCCCAGGGGCTAGAAATGGGAAGGGGAGGGTTGTGAGGGGTGCCAAACTGAAGGTACTTTTAGTCCTAGTTGGGATTGTGCACAGCCGCCTGGGGGCTGTGGACAGAATTCTAGTTCAGGCCTCCAGAAATCTTTGGAGAGAGAGTTGGGCACTGAGGGAAAGATAAATGCAAACAAAAACAGGTACTCTCACCTTGGGACTACAGTCCAGCTTCTCACTAGGAGGCTGGGCTGTTAGGTCTCAGGGTTTGCATTACCAGAGGCTCCTTTCAACTTGATTGCAAATTCGCTCTGCAATGAGCTGAGATGCATTTGTCTAACCAAGCAGGGCTTTACTTTTGGTACACACTGTCCTGAACCAAGCTATAGAGAGGCCCGGCAAACTCCAGGCTGCTTATAACACCTGCATGCAAAATGTTTACTTTCCTCACAGCTACAGAGTACAAGTAGATTTCTGTTTTTCTCAATGTCATTTATGCATATACATTTCCCATTAGCTTCTTTAACAATGGTTTTCTTCCATTTTTTTCCCCAAGAACTCTTTAATAAGCCTAATTTCTAATAAATGTATATTTTAAAAATCATGAAGTGTTTCATTTTGGGAATTTAAACTCTATTGCTTTTCTCCCCTGTAATCGGAGCTGTTATTTCAATTAAGTTCAGAAGAATGCAAGTGTGGGTATTTAAGAGATACCTGTGTTGGCCCCTGAGAATGTCACAATTAGATTAGTTAAGCAGACTGAGATCTGGTGGTACCGTGAAACCAAAACAACCCACTTTTCTTCTCACATTTAGGAATGGTATGCATTGGCACAAACAAGGAAAGAAGAGGTGCACATAACTCTCATTCATTTTTTCCAAAAGTGCTGCTTATGAAGTTCAACACCGGTCTTTGTTTTTTTACACTGAATAATAATTACCTTGGTATCCATGGGCATGAGTTCCAGGGACTCTGAGGATACCAAAATCCATGGATGCTCAAGTCCTTTATGTAAAAATGATATAGTATTTACATATAACATATACAATCCTCCCACATACTTTAAATCATTTCTAGATTTCTTTGAATTCCTAATACAATGTAAAGGATTGCTATACTGCATTGCTCAGGAGCTGGGCGCCGTAGCACATGACTAATCTCGGCACTCTGGGAGGCTGAGGCAGGAGAAGTACAAGTTTGATCCCAATCCGGGCATTTTAGTGACTTATGAAAGTCTGTCTCAAAATAAAAGAGGCTGAGGATGTAGCTCAGAGCAATGCCTGTGTTCAGTGCCCCATACCACACAAGACATACTGTATTGTTTAAGGAGTAATGACAAAGGGAAACGTCTGTACATGCTCTGTACAGATAAGATGTTTTTGTGTATTTCTGATCTGAAAATGTGGAACCTGTGGATAAAAACAGCCAACTATTTATGTATGCGAAACAATGTGGCATTAGGCTATATTATATACAGTGTTTGCAAACAATTTGCTTCCCAAACAGAAGCATCTGGCAAAATTTGTTTTTTGTTTGCAAACTGCATCGTGTGGCAGACGACCATGGCCACCTTTCCTACATAAACACAAATGTGGCCACCTTTCCCAGAATCGTAGAACAAATTAAATTTGTGAAATGAGGTACCTCTGTATACGTGCATCTCTATTGAATATAATATGTAATATTATAATATATGTACATATATCTATCTCTATCTCTGTCTATACCTTTATAGGTTGTGGTGTGGTTAGAGGAAACTACTTAATATATCCATCACCTCATGTACTTCTAAAAGTTGAGAGTGGACTATAAGAGTCTGACTGAACCAGAGTGACTCTATGTTGATCAACAAACGACCTAGAGACTGTCGCTCCCCCCATCCCTTATAGGATAACTAATGCTTAATTGTAAATTGTTAGATAACTGTTTTGAAGTAGCTGGGAGGCTGGGTGGAGACTATAATGAACACAGAGACACAACATGGATTGTGTTATTTTTTATATGTCTGTAATCTGAATGTTCTGAACATTATAATCTAAGTTATAAATGAAACAATGGATGAACAATCTGTTGATCATTAGTATGTGACGGTCAAGTATATGTCTGATGACCACTAGGACAGAACAACTGATTCTTTGTCTTTGTCTTCTTTTTGTAAGTTTTAAGTTTAAACCCCCCTTTAGCCCTATATAAAGTGGCCTCTGTTTTTGAGCTAGCTATCTCTCTGAGCTACTTGGCTTGGGGAGTGCCGTCTGGCCAGACTAATAAAGGTCTATTTGCCAACTTGCCTGG